TTGGCCTCAGTGATGACTTCTATTTTGGGTCTGAGGGTAAAGGTTTAGGCTGTGTGTGATCCAGCCATGATGATCCTCCAAAGCATTCTGTTCATCTTTGCCAGGTGGACGAGCGATCAGCTGCAGCTGATACAGATGCTCCAGAGCACTTCAAACCCAAATGTGGTTTTCATCAAATTATGAATCATGACCAGTCACTCCTCTCCTCCAGTCTCTTCTCTATACTGTTCCAAAGTGTTGTAAAACCAGGGAATCTAAACTTTATTCAGCTTAGAGTGTTGTAGTGTTAAAATCCAGCATTTCCCTTTTAGTGAGTTTAATACCTAAGCAAAGTGAAGAGATCTTATCCACCCAGATCAGATCCAGGATCCAGGCTTCAGGGTTAGTGATCCCTGTGGAATGACATTTCAGATGCGCAGGTTGGTTGGAATGCTAAAGGGCCACCAAGGCAGAGGAGAGTCTGTCAGAGATGACTGAACAGTAGCAGCTGACACTTTATTGGATATAAAAGCTGGAGGTGAAATGATGATTCTGATTTCGTAGAATTGAACAGTTTACCTATGAGCTTTACTACTTCTGATGATGCCCAACTTCCTAGTTTTGATGCATTCATTGACAAATTAGCATGCAATTAAACAAGACAGGGATATGAATCTAGGGCTCCAATTAGTGATTATTTTATTCAAATAATCATTTATTGGATATCTTTATAGGATAAAGTTATCGGATATCATTTTTGGATGAGGATATTCAATAAAGATAAAAAATTGGCACAAATTTTGCCAATTTTTTTATCTGATTAAGACAAATCCATAATGCACAGAAAATTTAAACAAATTCAGCTCATTTTTGAAAAAGAAAATAAAAATGTTCTTGTCTAGAATACCATAACAGTATTTCCTCAGTGCATGCTTCATTATTTGAAACAAAGGATGATCTGCAGCTAGAAATATGCTTCTGATATTGACATATACAATCTCAGCCCTTTCTGATTGACTTGTCAATACAGGTTAAAGCTGATTGTTTATTTTTTTTGGATTAACCAGTTAATAGTAGGTTAATAAAAGTCGTTTACTTTTAGATTTTTTTATTTATTTATTTATTTTTTACAATTTGCACTTGGTGAAGATAAAACAATACCTCTTGAGGAGTTCTGGGTAGAACATATTTAAAGCAGATTGTTTTTTCATCTTAAATACAAAGTGTGTATATTTTGTACAGTTTTGGCTCAATTACTGTTCTGAATATGATGTTTTCAGCAATCTGCCTTTTTTAGTCTGTATGCTCCAATAAATTATTTATTAATTACTTCATAAGTTGACTATTATTTCAATAGCCGGTTCATTACTATTAATCTGATTAATCGTTTCAGTCCTATCTGTCACAACAATCTGTAATTAAAGATAACATATATGCTATTTTATTTCACCATTTTATTCTTCTAATTCAGCAATGTAAAGAATCTTCTCAGCAGTTTTGCATTGTACATGGAGAGCGTGTCCTAGTCCAAGCAAGTGAAGGACTAAATGAATAGTAGCGAGTTTCGTCAGGTTCTTATCATTGGTTTAAACAATAGTAAAAGAAAAAAAAAACAATCTGTGTTGCAGCATTGCTGTGTTAAAAATAGGAGAGTGATGATTAATTCTGACGTATTTCTCTGGTTGTTAGATTTGTCTTTCTGGTTTTGGAAGTTTCCCATCCTATGCAGTTCTCAGGAAAGCTGAAACAGAGCTCACTTCAGACTAAATTCCTCATTCCTTGGTAATTAGTAGGAACTGCTCAGTGCACTTCAGCACCATCAGTTCTGCTGATAAAAATCAAGTATTTGCATTAATTTTAGAAGTGCCACCATCCCAGTCAATTCTTCACATAATTTCTGCTCTTGCAAGACTTTTTTAATTTTTTTATTTTCACTGCTAGTCCTGGAGCACTACAAGCTTTAATCTCCAAACAAGATAGTTTTGTGTTCCTCCCCCACGCTGCACTTCCATAATCCCTGCTTTAATATCTCACATTGCCAGCGGTGCGTTTATTTTTTATGTAAAATTGAGCACTGGATTACTAATGTCAGGAATGGAGGAGCATGATTGAACATGTCACTCTGCTGTCTGCACTGGGTGGCCTGATGCGTTTGTGATATGTATATGGGTGGAAACACAGCTTAGAGCTGCTGGTAGCATCAGAAACAGACCTAGCCTCCCTGACAAATCAGCAGAGCTGGAAACCAGTTGCAAAAGAATTACAGCATTTGTCTTCTTGTCGAGAACTGCAATAAAAATACTGAGTAAGCTCTTCGCGTCGGTGTGTTTTGTCCCGTGGTGGAATTCAGGCTTGTGTTTGTCAGGGAATACAAGCAGAGTTACAACGGCGTTAGACTGAAGCTCAGGCAAAGCAAACAGCAACAATCAGCATTAACCCACTCGCTGCCATCGCCCTCAGGCTGCCGCTCATGTTTTCTTTGATTTAACACAAGCCTCTTGGCTTAACTTATTGCTTTTTAAATTGTTGAATTATCAAAGGGAGCTTGGAAAAATCCACTTTGTCACTAAACAACACTTTGTCACTTTATCAACAAGAGTTGATAACGTTTCTAAGAGTTTTCTAGAACAAGAAAAGCAAAGCCAGCGAGATCTGTTTGGAGAAATGAATGTGTCTGCTCTGTGCCATTGCAGCCAGCTAGTAATTATTTCCCAGCGTGAACAAACCCCAGCTATAACATGTAGCCACAAGCCCAAAGTGTTTATGTCCTGCTGGGCCAGAGGTCTGCTCTCATTGGCCACTCACTTAATCTCTGGGCGCCTTTACCTACCTGAGATACCAAAGTTTGCCAGTGGATTTTAAGCATCTTTATAGCTTAGTTGATGACGTTAGGCAACAAAAATATGGTAAAAGAAAAAAAGCTTATTTGAAGAACTGATACTTGAGTATTTAAAATGTCGAGGTGCTTTTAATGTGAAAGGATTGCCAATGGTCTATGTGATCACTCACTTAATGTCTACACTCTCTATGCTTGGGAGTACAAGACAATCAGCACCAAGGAAAATGAATGACTGTCCTGGATTGGCTGCTTTGCAAAATAAATAGCGTGCCAAGTAGCTTTACAGCTATTTTAGCCTCCAAAGCTGAATTTTCTTTCAAATATTTTTGATTTTCACTTTGGGAAAACCCTTGATTAGGCAGATTTTATGCACATAATTTGAATTTAGTTCCACAGAAAAATCTTTAAATATTGAACAAGTGGTGGTCTGTAGTCGTCATCCTTCATATATAAATAAATAATTAACATTGGGCTTTTTTCTCTTGGACTTTAGTTTCCTAAAAGCTTTTGTTTCACCCGGGTTGTCAGTTGTGTGGGTTTCCACTGTGGAGTCCAAATCTGGGTTGTTTATGGAAATAATGTCTACTGAAGCTGAAACATCTTCCTCTCCACAGAAGTGTCCAGGGTTGGATCAAATACCCTGAAATCAGACCAATACAGCATTTATCCTACAATATTTCACAGTTATTATGGTTTAAAAGCCAAGTAAAGTCACTCCAGACAGTGTGGCAACACGTAACTATAACTGGACTTAAAATGAACTTCGTTGATCCTGAATCAAGAGTCTGTGTTGGAGAGGCCAGTGGTTCCAGTTAGAAAAATAAAAATCTGTCACAGCGACCACACTTGCTAACTTTAGTAGAGTCACTCCAGACCTTATTTAAAAGTACATGCTGCAGCTTTAGCAAAATTAATCACTGACACAAATATCATTGTTTCCTCAACTTTGGAGTTAGAGAAAAACTCTCACCAACGCTGCAAAAACACAAAGTCACACCAAGTAAGTTTGTCTAGTTTCTAGTGTAAAGACCTCAGTACATTTGCAATAAGACAAAACTAAGTCACAAGTAAATTTTCAGCACAATAAAGGAGCTTGTTTTAAGTAAGTAATTTAAGTAACTTCCTATAAGTAACAATATAGCATTAGAACCAGTACTTTCTCATCAATATTAAGGAATTATTCTCTTAAAACAAGCTTCTTTATCTTGCTGAAAAGTTACTTCTATGTGAGTTTTGTCTTATTTCAAAGGTTCCACGATATTTACAGTAGAAACTAAACCAAAAACATTTGGCAAGATGTTGTGTTTTTGCAGTGACAAAGCTCTGGTCGAGGTTTCAACCTGGGGTTTTCATCCAGAACTTGTGCACAATGGGTACGCTCTGAAAATAATTCATATGCTAAAGTCAAAAGAAAATTTTTAAACGTTAAAAACTTTTTTTAGTTAATCCCCTTGTTACCTCTGAAGGGAGAATTAACCACCACTGGCCAGCTATCAAGTATGATGGTATCTTTCAAACATAAAAACTGTTAATAATCAATATTACTTGAATGTTAGTACTTTTAAAATAAAATAGATGCTTTTGATTAAGAGGACTATATTTTAAAATGCTCCTGTATCTCAGTGATATAAACAGAGATGGTTTGTTACACTAACTCCAATAAATCTCAGGAGTTTATCTAACCAAACAATGAGCAAACAATCGAGATTTAGGTCACATTGTGAAGCGAAAGATGTTTAAAATAACAAACAAGGAAGCTCTTGTTCGTCTAGATGGGAATCGTGTTCTGGACAAAGGCAGCATTCTTCCCAACACCCACAACTGGGATCTGCACGCTTAAAATTTCCATGGCTGAGAATCTTTTTTTTTATTATTATTCATTTTGGATCTTTGCTGCTTTTATTATTTCTCTGATCATTAGGAGGAGGGCTTGCTTTGCAAACTGACGTCATGAGAGTGGAGTTTTCCAGAGCCGGGTGGTTCCCTCCTGAATCTGAAAGGAGGCGGTGTACAGTCAAAGCTTTTCACTGTGTTTGGGTAGAAATATGCAAACATTTATGGGATTCTCCTCTGATCCTAGCTGACAAAGATTAACAGAGAAACGTGCTCATATGTGAATATAGTGCAAGTCAAACCAGACGGTGCATTATTGACATTTTTTTATTTTTTATTTTTTCTTTAGTTTTGGGAAGCGATCAGCAGGCAGCCTGCGGCGTGGATGTGAATGCATCGTCCTTGAACCCTCAGAAATGATTGTGGTGAGTTCATTTCTCTGCTTTTTAAACTCCTGCTCAGAGCAGACTTGCTTCTTATGAAAAGTGTGAAATCTGATTTATTTTCTAAGATAAATAAGTATGGAAAAAGAAAATGTTGCAGATGTTTATTTTTTCTCACTTTATTCCCATTGTCATTCCTTTCTTATATCCTTTCTTGTCATTATGCCCACTTTCCTTCCATGTCCCTGCTTACTTACTCAATTACTTATTTTGTTTTCTCTTTCCTTTCATACACTCACTGTATCCTATCTGCCCACTTTTTCTTCTTCCTTCATTCCTTCTTCCTTATATTTCTGCTTTTTCCCCCTTGCTTTCTTCCTTGTGTTCTTCCTTATTTACTCACTTGTGTCCCTTTTTTGTCCATCATTTCTGTTTCCTTCCTCATTCTAATCATCTTCATTCCTTAATTACTTCCTTTCAGTTTCATTCTTCTTTCCTTTCACTTTTATGTTCTACTTCCCTTTTGTCCTCCATTTATTCCTTCCATATGACCTTCATTCTTTCTTTTCTTCTTTATTTGCTTTTGTCCTTTTTTCCTTAATAACTTTCTTCATTAATTTCATCCCACCCTTTCACTTTTTGTGTCCTACTTACATCTTTCTTTCCTTGCCTCATTCCTTCCTTGTCTTTCCTTCTGCTCTTTCTACCTCTTACCTTTCCTTTTCTTCTTACTGTTCACTGTAGAAATGTCTTCCATAAATTTGAAGCCAGTTTTAGTTTATATTTTGAAATGACAGTAAGTGCTGGGAGCTCAGTATGAATGATTTTCTCTGTGTAAATCCACTGAAACTTCAGAAAACAGCCATTAATGTGGACATGAGTTCACTCGCATGTTGCATCATGTCTTAATGGATTATTGTTAAACCCACAGTTATCCACTTACCACCTGCAGTGTGAAAGTTGCATCATCCTGTGTGGCCTGCTATATAAACTATATCAAGTTTTAACACAAACTGGCCTTTTGATTGGAGGTTCGTTCAGCATACTTTTGATATATTATTAAGCATCAAGACCTTTGTGTTCATTAAATTTAGATTTTTCCCTCTTAATGCGGCTTTGCTAAAATTAAAAGTGGCTGAGAATGAAATTTCCCCTCAGAGCGAAGTGCAGCGGCCAAGTTGGCAGCAGGAAACAGTCATCTGCTGAACAGAAGCTAACTGGGGCCTGAAGTCACCCCATAGACTGCTGAGGATCCTGCCAAGACACATTCAGACAGCTGCAACTTCAAGTCTGTTAATACACCAATGCAATGCATCGAATCTGTTGACCTTTCAACTTGCAGACTTGAACGCATCACAGTTTAAAACCTGAAGACTAGAAGAAAACCCAACTAGAAGTTTATTTTAAGATGAATCTGCCACCTTTTCACAGATGAACCCATCCTCAGAGTGAGGTTTTATTCTTGGAGGCTTCATAAATAACGCAGAAAGTAAAAGTCCTAATGTTAATTGATCAGTTTTGTGCTACATCAGGCCTGAGAAGATTTAGATTACTGTTACATGAGACACCAAAAAGCTGAAGATATGACATCATGAGTAAAATACTGCTGCAACATTTCTTATCAATGCCTCAGTACTAAACCCAGAGCATTACTTTGTAACTACATCACTCCACTTTGGACAAGGTTTGTGTTAAGATGGCTTTTTATGGTCTGTGGCTTTATGAAAGATAAATGTGCTCATCTTTATGATCAATCCATAAAAAAGAAATTAAAGCCACTAAATCAAATCTTATGGCTAAAATAAAAAACAAATCTTGGTACAAATATGCTGATTTTATTGATAGGTTCAACATGAAGCCAAGTGCTGAATACTGATCATGTTCAAAAAGCTGTCCTTGTTTTCTAGCTTCATCCAGCCACACTGTACAAACAGATAAAAGCAGCTTCACACATTAAAACTACAAACTTCAGTGTATTTTGTGTAAATTTTATCTCATATTCTAAGGAGAAGGACATTTATTTTTATTAATAAAACGCATTGAAATTTCAGTGATTCTGCCACCACCATGTCTCATCATGTGAATGTACGGCTGCATAAAATCCATTTTATTTTCAAAGTTCCTTTTAATTTTTCCCGCCAATAACAATTTTTCCATTTTTATTTCCACATCTTCCATTTTATCTATGTGTATTAACACAATAGCAACAATTTAACACATCAACAGCCAAACATTTCCATATTTCCTCTTGTTCAAGTTTCGTATTGCTGTGGTTCAGCAGAACATTGAATGATTTTGCAAAGTGTTTAAAAGTATTAGATTTTTTTAAACATAACTTAAACATTATGAGAAAAACTTACAAATTCATGTTTTTCACATTTTAAAAAAGTATAACCCCCTTCTGAAATGCATTTCAGTTGTCATCACCAAAATGTCAGATAAAGAACCCTGCAAACAGTAAAAGCCTCCAAAATATTTTTTTTTCCAAGAGAATATTGTTTTTGACACTGAGCAGCAAAACATTCAACAAACCTTCGCCTCACTTTTTTCTGATTTTTGGTCTTCAGTGGTGCATTATTTTGTTGGGATGCATATTATATTGGCATCCCAATATCGCAATCGGCATTAATGTCATTTTTTAACATTATTATCAGATATTGATATCGGCAAAATTTCCAATTTGATGCACCCCTGTTATTTTGTTGTGAAATCTTGCATAAACTCTCACAGAAATACAATGAAATCTGCGGTCATAATCTGACAGGAAGTGATGAAACTGTTTTTTTGTTGTTTGTTTTTGTTTGTTTTTTGTTTTTACCACATAATAAAATCTCACCCATGAACAAGCACTGCAGTCTTTCAAGGAAGTGCAAGCATGCCCTACTTTCATCTTCCTTCCAAGAAAAGCAGCAGAGGTAACCTGCATGCTGTCAGTGTGCAGGAATAACAATGGACTTCCACCGCTGCAATCACAGCGCGTCTTCATTTCACATAATTGCCATGCAGATGGGACGACAACTCCAGCAGATCCTCCCTCCTTATTAGCACCTCCACCCTGGTCTGCTGGCTGCTAGCTGTTGCTTTTGCTATCCCAGAAGCCAAGCCGTTTCATAATTACGAAGCAGGATGGATCAGAGGTTCCCCTGCTGCAAAGTTTCCACTCGGCTCCATGAAGCTGCAGTGAAATGAGCACATTCATCCGCTGCCGAGGTGCCTGTACTGTACACACACACACATGCACACACACACAGCTTAGAGAGAGCAATTAGACACACAAACACGCTTTTATGCCCTCGCTAGCACACAACTCTGCTGCCGTTGTCATGGCAGCCATTGGTAAGGCGGAGTGAGGTTTTTAGCAGCGTAATCCCAAAGGTTGAGCTGCAAGAAATGTGAAAAATAGCGAGAGAGATGAGAAGGATTGGGCCCCGAATATGAAGATAGAAAAACTATTTTAGGATTACCTGGTAGGATGAGAGCTGTCCTGTTCCAGTTTTCTATGTTTTTTTTCTCCTTCTCCTCATTCATTATGAATGGAAGCAGGGATTTAACCTGATTTTAACTTAAGGTAGCAAAGTGTCTTTTTCTGCACGGAACTTCATCTTTGTTTATGTCTGCCTGTCAGTCCGCCTCTCTCCCAGCTCACCACTCTCATACAAATTCCTCACTGTCTCTTGTTTCGTGATGCGAGCATCCTCTGACGTCGGTGTGCGCCGCGCCGCACAGCCCACACACACACACTTCTATTTTTACGCAACCAGAGAGGCGGGAGGCAGGAGGGACATGGGGGAGTTTTGTTGTTATTATTTTGTTTTCTTTTGCTGATGGGAGGATGAGGAAGAGGAGAGGGGTGTGAATGAAGACGAAGACAGTCACTCCCCTTCTATCCGTGTTGCTTGCAGGTGGACTATATGGATGAAAATGAGGAGTACTTTCAGCGACAAGCCTCGCACCGACAGTCCCGGCGGCGCTTTCGGAAGATCAACCAGAAAGGCGAGCGACAGACTATCATCGACACGGTGGACCCGTACCCCACTGGAAAGCCGCCCGTAGCCCGGGGTTACCACACGGTGAGTTTCAGCCCGTGTTTATTCTCGCTGTTCTCCAGAGCCGCTTCTCCGCTGTAATCGCTGTTAAGGTAACTTTGTGTTTTCTGCCTTTAGCTGATCTGGTCAGAGAAGGTTGTGCTGTGATGTCTGGTCTTTTGGGGGGTTGCTCGCTTCGCCCTGCCCTTCTGCTCCTTCATGCTTTCCTCTGATCTTTGCTGATTTAAATCGTTTCCCTTCTTCTTGTTGGATTAGAGTTGCTCCACTTCTGTGTCTGTTTAGAGACTCTTGAGACCGTTCAGCTTTCTGTTTGTTGATCTGTCGTCTTTTTAATGAATGTTTCTGTAGTTTGTTCAGCGTGTCTAACTGAGTCTCTTCTGGAACCATGTTTGGTGTCAGAGTAGCTCTATTTGTGATTCATGTTGGGATGTTTGTGATCTCTTTAAAGTGACTGGCTAAGTCATCAGGTTTTTTTCGTAGAGATGTTGCGGTTTCAGTGAATTTACGAAAAAAATGTAATGGCGTATTTTCTTCCAGCTGATAGGCAGTGCACATGTACTGGAGGTGGAAGTAGAAATGCTACAGCTGGAGAAAACTCCACTTTCTTTAAAATCTCATAAAAGTAATTCAAACCGCAGATAGTAGAGATGCACCAGTCAGGCTTTTCCTGACTAAGACCGATTCATGATTTTCTTCTAAGTCTGCTCTGCCAGTCCCAATATTTTTACTAAGGATTATAACATATGAGACATTGGTTTGCAACTTTGAACCTTCCACAATGGCTCTTTATAACTTTGGCTTACTATTAAATAGGTCCAGTTACTGTTTTAATATGGATATAACAACAAATGCATGTTTTTTTTTTATATTTGCACTGAATTTCTACAAAGAATGACACTGTGAAACTACCAGTATTAATTTTGATGCATTTAATAATAGAAAAAAAAATTCAATATTCGAGCTGCAGATCAAAACTAAATTGTCAGATTTTGATCTATTTTTTGTTTTTTATCTTTACATTGAAGAAAAATTAGCTGGTTGCTGAGTGTTGTTCCTCCACATAAACTCTTTGCACTTTAGTTTATTTCCCTGGGAAAAAAAAATCTCAAAGAAATAAGTAAATAGCCATCATGCAGTTCCTGCACACAACTTCCTGTTCCAAAGCGTCTCACAGCATTCCTCTCGTTCCCAGCGTTCCCTCGGGTCCTCGTCAGGGTACTCGTCTGTTTTTGTCTCCAACTTTGTGAATCTGTTCCTCTTAAAAAGGAGAAACGTAATCTTCCAGCTTTTATCACACCCTACTCTGATCTCCAAATACAGGCTGGACGGTTCTGAACTTTCTCATGGCCCGACATCTCTGCACGAACTCTGAACTCTGTGCTCGGAAACAAATCCTGTGAGAAGGATGGAGCCTGCGCAATGACAACCAGTATTACCAAATGGGCGCCCACTTAGAAGTACAGTATGGAAGGCAGATTATTTAACAATAACGCTGTTGCTGAAGGAGAAGGTAGTTTAGATGCTGAATATTGGCGGTTGCTAAGCTGGCATAGCATGCTAATCTGTAGCATTTAGAACGCCAGGCATAACCCAACCGTTCCGTCCTTCCTCCCTGAGGCTTGTTGAGGAGGAGAGAAGCACAACAAAGAGATTCTTTGAAGCGAAAGAAGAAAAGGGCTTATCTCACTTATCGTCTTTAAGGTAGATGTGAGGACAGGTGTGAAACCATGGAGAGAAACTCAGTCCATAGCCTCAACTTCCTCATGCCTATAGATGCCAGTAGAACATGCATCCAATCCAAACAAACATCAAGGCAGAACAAAAAAGTTGATCCACGTTGCCACCTTTAAGATGGTGCAGTATGATTAAACAGCATTTTGCCCTTTGAAAAACTAGTAAAATGGTTCAATTCTGTTAAAATGTTTGAGACACTAAATGATGTATATTACAATGAAGTAGTATTTGAATATCTTCATCTCTAATTTGGTGCTTAGCTAAACATGTTTAAATGTCAGCCATAATACTTGGTGAATCCTGAAATAACCGATTTCTTTGCTAGAAGCATCAGTGGCCTTCCTGATTTAAATAGAGATTGTTGTATAACTCTCAGGTCCCAGATTGTTTGCAGGCAGCTGTGCGAACTCCTCCTGTCCCTGAGCAATACTGGGTACAGGTTGTAAGCTGCTGCAGAGCACCATGGGTGAAAAATCAAAGTCAGACTCACCTCAGATTGAAGCTCCCAGTGGGAGGGCTCACAAAGACAAACAATCTGAAGCTGAGCTGTTGTTAAAGGAACTTTATTAGGCCCTTAAGGTTCAAATATAATGGAGGATAATTCCTTAAACACAAATAGAGTCTGCTCTCATGACTGTAAGCATGTTTATTTTCTGATCTGAATGAATTCTGTTACACAGAGGACTGAACTGGGATTAATATTAACATCCATTAGCTGATGAACTTCACTACAGTTCTCTGTTACTCTGTAAAGCCAGAGATCAATCAAGTCAGGAGTGATTTATTACGTTTATTTCCAAAGTGCAGGAAAGGTGTAGTGGTTTATCATGTTAATCAAAGAAATAAGCATCTATAACATTAATCTTGCTGCCCGTTTAAGGGCTACAATGCAAACATCACATTAGGTTACTCGATAATTTAGACTGCATTGTCTCTTTTGAGTGTTCAAAGTTGTGCAGTAAAGGAATTAAGGTGACCTGGTTGTGTAGATTTTACTGTTTTTATAGAACTGCATAGATTCCTGCTTTTAATGTCAGATCTCAGTTTCACCCCAAACAAACAAATTCAGGAAAACTTTAGTAGTTTAATAGTTAAATGCCACATGGATGCACTAGAGAAATGTTCTGCAGGTTTCTTGAGTGAGTTAATAGTTTTATTACACAAATAATTCTCATTTGTGCATTAAACTGTATTGACATTGGTATATTGGGTTGGCATACCAATGCCAACCTGGCATTGGATTGGCATTGTTGGTTTAGTCTAATTCTTACTCCAAGGAAAATTATTCAAGTAATGTTTGTCCTTTAATGTATCATGAATAAATCCAAACAATAATTTTTTATCGTCACTGAAAACAAAAAGATAAATGTTGGATTCATAAGGATCAAGATAAATATTTCACATATATTTCTGCTTCCATGGATAAATCAGGGCGTGAAAAAGGACAGTGTTTAGGATTCAACACATGCCTCCTGTGTACTCAACACTGTAAGATGACACTTGTGTGCCTTGTTCAAAATGAACACACACACACATCTGCACACACACACACACACACACAGGTTTTCTCTCAGATCTCTTTCTCAGTCACTCTCTTAAGGTCTTTGTGGGGATTCTCTGTCACTCAGACTAGAAGGAAATGTCAACATGGCTGCTGTTGATGGATCTTCTTTACTGAATGCTGCACAGCAGATCAGATCCATAGCTCTTTTTAAGTTCTTGATTTGGATGTCTCCCTTCTATCTTTATTTAAACTCATACTTAATTCCAGGAAGACATTCCCAAACCTGGAAGGACTGGTGTATCATTTATTTTTAACGTGTCAGCGAGGTTTGCACCTTCCAGGTAGATGTCAGATAATTGATTTTCCTTCAGCTTGACTGTTTAAAATGTAACTCCAACCTCAAAAGCTGAAACTATAATAGAGTAGTTTCTCTCCAACACTTTTTTAATTTTCTTAAAGGTCACCACAGAGGTAAAACAAGAAGTCCAGCTCAACTATTTCCTAAAATACCATTAAGAAGTAAAAAATGTTTTCTCTTTCTGTGCTTATGTAGCTTCAGGAACCGTCAAATTCAATTCTAATTTGACTTAAACATAAAGAGAAAAGTTTTACTCTGTTAGCTGCCCAGAACCGTCCCAAAACTCAGGGCTTATCTGCAGCGAAAACCTTCTCATCCCCGTAGAAGCTAACGTCTCCAGTCTTCCTTAGCGCTACTCTTTGGGGTTCAGCCAATCAGCACCCAGCATTGTATTTCAGCTTCCGAAGCTGAATTTTCTTTCAAATATTTGACATGTTCCTCAGATAGACAGGGGTCGACTACACAGCTTTTGTTCTTTTATTTAATCACAACACTGATGTCACATGTGACCAACAGTGATCATTAAAACTGTTGGTAAAAAGTACATTCTGTGATGTATTTAATTGAAACTTGGCTTTCAAAGCTTTTTTCTGCTGTTTTGTTCATAACTTAGATGTTCTTAATGCAAAGGTTTCACAGTTCATATGCTAATCTGGAGATAGAAAAAGATAAAACCAGGTGTATGATTTATTTTTAACATGTCAGCAAGGTTTGCACCTCCAGTTTCTCACACCCTCAGCTGAAAAGTGTCGTATTTGATAACTCTCCTGTCTTCTGCTTCCTTTCACGGCTCGCCCCCTAACTCGGCTTCCAGGAATGCAATAAACCGAAGAAGGTACCGTATCCATTAGCAGTGTTTGTCTGTTGTTTTCAGTGTGCGTCTTTTGTTTTCTAGCTGCATGTGTTCGGTAGGCTTATCTGCGTCTGATTCCCCATTCGTCCTATCTGTAGCTGCTAGCAGACTTCCTCAATAAACACCTTCCATTTGCAGGCGCGGGCACTGATAATGATGGAAAGGGAAGCTCTGCTCCGCTCTCCAATTCTATTACCATCACGTCAACAACAATATGAATTGAATTGTTAATAAGAAGGACTGATAAAAGACGCCCATTCTGCTGCTGCCATCCATTTTATCTTGATTTTACTTTAAAAAAAAAAAAAAAAAAAAAAAACCACTACCACATCCAGTTGTCATGTAATGACAGGGGGATGATAACTATCACTCTTATACAACTTATAGGGCTGTAAAGTGTGATAATGGTAACAATTGAGATGATTGAGGTGCATGTTTTTTCCCTGAAGATTATCTTTGGGCTCTTTGGATTATTATTATCTCTACTCTGGTTGTCGTGACAGATGGAAGATTTCAGTTTTAATAATTCTGCTACATATAGAATGCTGTTACACCAATAGATCTGCAGCTTTTTCAGTCTTTCATTAGGGTGCTGCAGTAACAGGGCGGAAAGGGATTAAGAGGGAGAGGTGGAAGAGATCAGAGCTCAAAGCACTGATCGCTCATACCTGCTGGTAAATGCAGAGAGAACAAACCTGCCACTCTCGGCTGCAGAAAAGCCGTGCTCCTATTTTTAGAGCTGTCCTTTGTGACTGCCTGCTCTGCCTCAGCTGCGCAGAGTTACAGAAACCTCACTCTCGCATGGAAATTGTGTAGGAAAGGCAGTGATCAAAGCATAATGAGTTTATTGTACAATTATTCCTCATCCTGCATCTGTGACTGCTTGGTTTCTCAATGATCCAGTTGAACTTTCAGCGTTTCTTTCATAAAACATCATGATTGTTTAAATTCTATGCTAATTCCCTGCATAATTCATTCTCATATGTTTCAGCTTTCCTTTTTAAATGAATAGAAGTGGCAACAGTGAAAGGAGTTCTTCATGCTTTTATTGTCAGCAGTGTGTGGGTAGACTATGCAGTTTTTATTTGAAGTATCCTTTGTTTCCTTGATTTAAGCACCCACGCCTCTTTTCCTTCCCCATCATACTCCACAAAGGCAACAGCCCTGTTTGTTGTTATTAATAGCCTAATATCAAACATTAAGTGTTGAAGTAAAGTGGAGCAGATATTTTTGGCTCAATAGTTCAGCTGAAATAGAGGCTTTTGTAGGTGAAGAAGAACTGCTAATTTATTGTCTGGGCTTCGGTTTTCAACCTGTGGTATAGAGAAAGCTTAGGTTGCCAGGTACTTTTAGAGACCGACTGTTTGGAGCATGATAGATGGAGAACATCTATTTGAATGGTAAAATGCCTGCATGGCAACAATCTCACAGTTTCCCTCATTTGTCTCTTTGAACCATGATGAAAATCTGTGCTTTAAGCTCATAATAGGATTGTTTGATCAGGTTATGGTTGAGCTAATTTGCTTGATCAGACACTGCAGACTAATATGGCAGTCTGGTCTAAACCTTTGAGTAGATATCTTAAAATATGATTAATAAAATTAAAAATGGAAAACATTCACATGTGTAATCCTGTGAAACTAAAGATATGTTTCTATTATTTTTTAGATATATTGAGATTCTTTTGACTGCAGCCTGAGCAGACAGCTCAGCTAATAAACCTGCTAATATCAGCTTGTCGTAATCATGTTACTCCATAAAGAGCCAAACGGCAAATATAAGTTGCTGAAAACTACTACAGTTACATGAAAACATAATTTTGGACCATATTGATCAGTTGGTTAGGTTATTTTTATAACCACTGCATTGATATACTTTTTGAATTTGAGAATCTCCTCCCTTTCTTGATGCAGTTGGAGGTTAAAGTTGAATGTTGTGATCATCACAAGCATGAAACATTTCCTGCTGTAACTGACTGTTGAACCTGAAGAAGTAAAGACTACCAGGTCGTAACCTTTCAGTTACTATCTGACTTGATCCGGAAACCTCAGGTTACTGATGAACTTCTCCTGCTCTCGATGTGCTGCTCATTCTCTTGAAAGCACCGTAGTTCATGTTCCTCCCAGATTTATGCTGCTTCCAGCAGGCGCTCCAGTACAACAGATGTTTTGCCCTGATGAACCTACAAGTGTAATCTTTTAGGCGTGTCTGGCAGCCCGCATCTCTATCAAATTATTTCCAGAGCACCGTGCAGGTGACAACAGCTTGAAAAATGAAGTCATCCCATGAGCTGCAGCAGCTATGAAAATGGAGTCTTTTTATTAGATCATTGTTCCCGCTCTCACAACGCCACTTAGAGCCGTCGTAATGGGACACATGTCACTGATTAATGTCCTTGCTGCACGTGGCTTTCTGTTGACTTCCAAACAAATTCACTGAATACGTTTAGGAATGGATCAATAAATCAAAACCTGAGACTCTGATCTTCTAATGGATGCTGCAGGTCTTTCAGAGGATCAGAGGAGCAAAACGTTCATGTTTGATCAAAGAACTTTTAACCGGCTGTTTATTGATGTGAGGTTGGATTTTCTGACTCCTTACAGCTTCTTATAGACATTGCCTTGCAGAAAGATTCAAACCACACAAACTTTTAATGTTTTGCATACTTAAGTCGTTGGAGGAAAATGACATAATGGATTCAAATAAAAACCTGAAAATGATGTTGTGCAGATGTATTCATCCTCCGTTTATTCCGAAACCCCTAAATAATGTCAAGTGCAACCAGTTTCAATAATGGGTCACGTAACTGTGTGATTTAATGCAGCAATTTTGTTTCTGGTTCAAAGAACAACCAGCATCATGAAGACCAAGGCCTAGTCAAAGTTCATATTTAAATCCAAATTAGAATCTATGTCAAAAGTTAAACATTTATTTTCTGTAAACAAAATGGACGACGCACTTCAGGTGTTTATTTGTAAAAATTATTAAAATAGTTTCCTTTTCCTAACATATTGCAGTTGTGCTCTACTTTTGTTGAAATCTTGTTACCTCCAAATAAAAAGAGAAACCAACATAAATGATTTTTAAGTTTGTTTAGTTAAAAAACAACATTTCTACTAAGTCTTTGTATAGAACCTAACAACACAGTCTCGTGTTTTACTCTTGGATTCCTAGATGTCATTTTCGATCCGACCCAAAAGGCAAATTCCCATTATATATTTATATATTTGTTGTGCTTTATGGTTCTGTATAACAGTAAAGTAATAAAATGTTTCTTATGTCAGTTTAGTATTTTGATGTCAGATGCTTACTAACTCAGGATCTCTCTAGAACTAAAATTTGGGCCCCTCATGCTTTTTAGAGTATATGACTACAGATCCACCCCTGTTCTTTGGTTTAAAGCTGGAATCTCATCGCTGTGAGTCCATGTGTTTGTTTTCTGGAGATGTAATGAGGTTTTTATGGCTCCAATGCTACGCATCAGCAAGTAAAGCATCATGCATGGCCTTGCTTATCACACCCACTTTGCAGTGTGTTTACAGTGACACATGAGGCCGCCCCCCCCCACCTCCATCTCTTGCGTTTAGCACTCTCTGCATCTGAAAATGAGAGCTTTAATGCTATTCTGAGGGGGGGGGGGGGTTTAATGTGCCTGCCTTTCCTTTAAATTTTGTTTATTAGTCAGTAAAAACCTGATTAATTGGTTTGTTGCTAGAAAGCTCCAGATGATGGGGGTTGGGCAGGAGTTTCTGATATTCCCAAGGCGCAGTCTGGTTGCTGCGGTGATGTAATGACGCCCTCTGTCCTCCTCACCCCCCACCCCCGGAGACAATTGTTGGAGACATTAATGACTGGGCTGCTCTGCAAACCACCTGAGCATTTTTTTGTGCTTGTTTTGAAACATTACATCATGGCTGGGGGCAGGAAAGGTGATGTCATCCCGGGTCTCCAGGCTTCTCTCACCCCCCTCCCACTCACCTCCCCCGTTGCTTTGACTGGAGCTGCTCCAAAACCAGCTAGTAGTACTCCACTTTCCAGGCACAGGCTGAGGACTCAGGCTTTGTGCAAGACACCATCCGCAACAAATATGAGTCCGATGAAATATTGCTTATTAGATTTTTTGTGTTCTTGATTGTGCATTCATTATTTTTGGAAGTTATGCATTGGAGGTTTAACGCATGTATGATATAT